TTGCTTTATCTGCGATTGAGGAGGTTGTGTCGGAAAATCCTTGTGGAGCAGTTAAAGGTGCATGTGGAGTTGGTATTCTGATGAGATCCACGGCTATGGCGAAGTTCAAGCGAGGCTTGGACTTGAAAGACGTCTGTGGCGGTTGAGCCCATTGGGACTGTGGGAGAGTAGTAGCGGAATTCGGATTCTATTGAAGCGATTGTTACTTGGCTCAAACGTCGAGCCAAGGTGGAGATTACACGCACTTTGCCGCGCATTTTTTCAAATGGGCACAGTCCAAAAAAGTCAGCTGCTCCACCTCCCTGTCTTTGTTGAAAATATGTCTCGAATTTGAGCTCAAAGCGAAATCTAAATATTCCGAATTGGATATTTTGCGACTATCCGAAATCGAGCAAAGCAAAAGAGACGTGAGTTTCCTAATGAAGTTGGAGTCCATGGCTTGAAATAGGAAAGTCCATCAGAAAGGCCAACGTGGACTTTGAGATAGACATTGACCCAGTCAACGATGATCAAAGAAAAGAAGAACGTATTTCTTACCCTTTACAAGTTGGGACTCGGTGAAGAAAGAAGACAAAATAGGAAAGTCAAAAGGTGGATTTTGGTTGACCGAATTATCTAGGTTTCAAATCCCATGTTGAGTCGGCCACGTTCTCTTCTTGGGCATGCGTATATATATATTATTGTATTACAGGAAGAGAATTAGTGTAGCGCCGCTTGAGCGAGTGCTTGGTGCAGAGAGCTTTCTCGTGAATTCTGTTCAGAAGCGCCGTTCTCTACGAGTGCTTGATACGAGTTTCTCTTCGTGGAATTACATCAACAACTTAAGTGTTGAAGTCGATTAAATTCTTGTGGTTAAATTTGTGTATAATTCTTTTGCGAGATTGAGAGATTATTTCGTGAGGAATTGTGGGGCTAAACACTGCGTGCGTTATTGGGTGTAATTGGGGCTTGGGAAATACTTAGAGTGTTTGAGTGACTCGAGTGTGGTTGTAATCTCCATTGTATCGCTTGATCTATAGTGGAATTCCGTGCTGCTCTCCCCGTGGACGTAGGTCACTACGACCGAACCACGTAAATCTGGTGTCCGATTTATTTTCTTATTCTATCAATTTTATTGTTCGATCGCTTGGCTTTCGCAGCAGTCTTTGCGCAGTTGGAGAGAATACCGAAAATGCCGGAATCGAACGCAAAACGACGGGATTGGGTGACTCGATCTTGTTTTATATGCAGTGCTCTTAGCGAGTGTTTAGTGGGGGAGCATTACGTAAAAGGGGAGAGAGTGTTCATCGACATCATGATCGCACTAACACTTAACGTTTCAAGATGCAAAGTCCATCCCATCAGAAGTTCTTCGCCGATTGAAGCACGGTTTCAGGGACTTCTTGAAACATCTGAATCGCGCCACCGCATGAACAACGGTTGCCTTGAGACGAGGAGAGTGAAGGAACAGTGATGAAGCGATGAAGAGGGAGGGATGGCAGAGAAGGGAAACCCCATTTGTCTGCATTCAGTAGAAGAAGAGGAAATGGCATAAAAGATTCATGAACTTTCTGCATGAAAACCATTCTGGTTCTGTCCAGAATTGGTTTTTTGTTCCCAGAATCAGTTTTGGACCAGAAACCCGTTTGGTAAGGTAATTTCATTTTTCTATTTCCGGGACAAGTTTGCTTCCAAAACTGATTCTGAAACCAGAAATGAGAATCAAAAAAAAGTTGGTTTTTCATTTCTGGAACAAAAGTGAGAACCATTTCTGAGGAATTCATTTTCTTCAACACACATATTCATATGGAAGTCACGATCTTTGAGGTGAGAAAAAAAAGCAAAAAATCAAAAATTTCAAAACTTAACATAATGGTTTAGAATCTGTGGCTACCCACTTTCAGTGAAATTTAAATTTTTTTAGGTACCGAAAAAAATAAATAAAAATAAAAAATTTCAAAATTTCACAAAATGGCTTAGAAAACCTATGGCCACCCACTTTGAGCAAAATTTAATTTTTTTAGTTGCCAAAAAAAAATAAAAAATTCTAAAATTTAAAAACTTCACAGAATATCTTAGAATACATGTGGCCACCCAATTTGAGCGAAATTTTATTTTTTTAGGTGCCGAAAAAAATTAAAAAAAAGTAAAAAATCAAAAATTTCAAAACTTTACAGAATGGCTTAGAATACTTGTGGCTATCCACTTTGAGTGAAATTTAAATTTTTTTAGGTGCCTAAAAAAATAAAATAAAATAAAATAATTTCAAAACTTCACAGAATAGCTTAAAATACCTGTGGCCACCCACTTTGAGTGAAATTTAATTTTTTTTATATGCCAAAAATAATAAAAATAAGCAAAAAAGTAAAAATTTCAAAACTTTACAGAATGGCTTAAAATACCTGTGGCCACCCACTTTGAGCGAAATTTTATTTTTTTAGGTGCCGAAAAAAATAAAAAAAAATAAAAAAATAAAAAATTTCAAAACTTCACAAAATGGCTTAGAATACCTGTGGCCATCCACTTTGAGCGAAATTTTATTTTTTTAGGTGCCGAAAAAAATAAAAAAAAATAAAAAAATAAAAAATTTCAAAACTTCACAAAATGGCTTAGAATACCTGTGGCCATCCACTTTAAGCGAAATTTAAATTTTCTTAGGTGCCGAAAAAAATAAAAAAATAAAAAATAAAAAACTTCACATAATTGCTTAGAATACCTGTGGCCACCCACTTTGAGTAAAATTTAATTTTTTTTAGGTGTTGAAAAAAAAATAAAAATAAGCAAAAAAGAAAAATTTTCAAAACTTCACAGAGTGGCTTAGAATACATGTGGCCATCCACTTTGAGTGAAATTTAATTTTCTTTAGGAACCAAAAAAAATCAAAAAAAATCAAAAATACCATTTGGGCATCTAAAAAAAATTAAATTTTACTCAAAGTGTGTGGCTAGAGGTTTTGTAAGTCATTCTGTGAAGTTTTGAAATTTTTGATTTTTTAGGTTTTTTTCACCTAAAAAATTTAAATTTCACTCAAAGTGGATAACCACATGTATTCTAAGTCATTCTGTGAAGTTTTGAAATTTTTGATTTTTTGCTTTTTTTCACCTCCAAAAATTAAAATTTCACTCAAAGTGGGTGGCACAGTATTCTAAGTCATTCTCAGAAAGTTTTGAAATTTTTGAGTTTTTGAATTTTTTTGGGCACCTTAAAAAATTTAAATTTCACTCAAAGTGGGTGGCCACATGTATTCTAAACTATTCTGTGAAGTTTTGAAATTTTTGATTTTTTGATTTTTTTGGGCACCTAAAAAAATTTAAATTTCACTAAAAGTGGGTGGCCACAGGTATTCTAAGCAATTCTGTGAAGTTTTGAAATTTTTGATTTCTTGATTTTTTTTAAAAAATTCAACAAATTTCCTATTTTCCCGAAATCTAAATTTTTTTATTTTCTCGACATTTTGATGATTTTTTCTAGAATTTTTCAATTTTTTGGGATTTTCTGAATTTTTTTAACGATTTTTATGAATTTTTCGGATTTTTTATTATTTTTATTCCATTTCTAAAAAAATGGATTTTTGTTCCTGGAAATAGAATTTTCTATTGTTTATCAAACGGGTTTTTATTTCAGGAAATAGAAATTTTGTGCTGTTATCAAACGGATTTCTGTTCTAGAAATAGAAATTTTTTGTCATTATCAAACGGGTTTTTTTCTCAGAAACTCATCCAGGAACCAGAAATAGAAAAATCTATTTCTGGTTCAGGAACTCATTCCGGAACAGAATGGTTATCATTCGCTACCTTAATCTAACGTGCAATATCATCCTTACGTTTTTAATTTATTCAATAAGGTTCATGAACTTTGATCCAATATTAAATACGATTCACGAACTTTCAAACATTTTCACATTGTCTAAGAATTACATCAAATATTTATCAATAATTCATTAACCGTATTAAATAAATTAAAAATTCAAGAACAACATTGCATGTTATATCAAAGTATATGTCCCCCTTGTGTTATTATCCCTATTTTTATTGTGAGTTCGCTTAATCTTTATTGCTTCGTTAGGTGTGCTAGTCTTTTTGTTTTCTTTTCGATCGAAGTGCTAGTAGTCCTTTTATCTTGTAAATCTCATAGCCTTATTTGAGAAGAAATCACCATCTAAGCAACCAAGAAAGTGACTTTTTAAGTAGATTACGTGCACCCCTCAACACGATTGCTTTCAACTCTGTCTTGTGTTGAGCGATTTCTTGTTTAGATCATGCGCAAGGACCTAAATGGACAACGATGCTGATAGACTCGTCAAACAGGTGCATTGGATTGGGTTGAAAATGATCCTACTCAAATAGATCAATTTAACTCGTTTTGACCCATTTCCATGTAATACAAATATAATTGTGAATGCTCGATCCGTATTGCTAAGACATTTTCATATTTAACCAAATTTAGGAAAATTCATATATAAATTAAGGTGAGTGAGAGCACAAGAGAATGAAGAGAGAATCATAAAAATAAATTGAGTCTAAGTAAATTATAAACCCATCTAAGCAATATTTTCTTCTTTCCGTAGAAAATGCCATCTAAGCAAACCAAGAAAGTGACTTCTTTAAGTAGATTTCGTGTACTGCTCAACATGATTGCTATCAACTCTGTCGGGTGTTTGAGCGGTTTCTTGTTCAGATCATGCCCAAGGACCTGAATGGATAACGATGCCAAACCAAACAACCATAGGGATAACTTAAATGCCCGATAGACTAGTCAAATAGGTGCATTGGATCAAGTTGAAAATGTTCTCACTCAAATAGATCCATTTAACCCATTTTGATCCATTTCCATATAATGCAAATCTAATTACGAATACTCGATCCGTATTACTAAAACACTTCAATATTTAATCAAATTTAGAAAAAACTTATAGTGTGTGCTAGATCAAGTGAGAACGAGAGAGAAAGAAGAAAGAGACTTAAAAGTAGATTGAATCTAAGCAAGTTACAAACCCATTTATGATCCACTTAACACATATATTATGTTTAAACTCATTTATGACCCATTTACCGAATATAATTAACTGTTACATTAACTCAGCCCATCATACATGGATTAAAATATAGGTCCGTTACCCCTTTTAATAGATCTAATGCCCGATAAGGCCGGCATGTATACATTTGATATGAAAATAGTCGCATACACATTGAACAGTTGATCGTATATATTTCGGCTATGGACATGAGGGAGATCGAGAACCCTTTCATCTCCCTAAACTCGCGGTTTTGGTGTATTTAGATCTTCTGATCTGCTTGCTGTCTTGTCCTTCACTGTTTTTATACTTGCTTAGTATATCGCTGGCAGAACGACTTGATCCTTCCAAGGCCTTCTTCGAGAGATGACGGATCGGCCGCGAAAGTGATGCGCACCCAATCTTTCAAGCCCACGGCAAGTCCTGCGAAACAGAGAATTTCAATGTCGTCAATGATTCTGCTTCGCTGTAATACGGTTCGGCTCTTAGGTTCTGTGAGATGAATTTCTTGCAGAGGTCAAATACCATAAGCTAGAATGTCAATTCACTTCCAAAGGCAGATTTTCTTCTCTGATGTGTGAAATTTCGAGCAAGAGCTTCGAAAGTTGTAGGGTTTCAAAACTATCTATGAAAAGAACGGTTTTCGTCCTTCAATCACAAATAAGTTAAGTACCCAAGGATCATAATGGTCTTTCAAACTAAAGATGGATCTGCAACATTGCGATAGATATGCACAAATAGATCGGGTTCTGCCACTAGGTATCATACCAGGAAGGATGATAACTGATTCCTCCTTGGCCAGCTTGAAGCAGAAGTCGATATCGTCGGTGATGTCTTTCAGTAGCGAAAGGTTCAGCTTTACCTGCACAGAGGAAAAAGAATTTTCGAAGTCATGCACATTCAGCAGCATTAGGGATTATTTATTAGCTATGTAAGAGCATCTAGGAATTGGCCTCACCATCATAGCCATAGATCCCTTGGGTTTATCAGAACAAGTAAGGCAGGGAATCTCGCTGATCCGGCTGCAACAAATATCCGCAGTCTGTCTCAGTGTGTTGTTGTTTTTCTCGAAAAAAGCCTCATCAGTTCTCTCGATGATTTGAGGAACCGCTGCCTGGCAAAATAAGTAACGGAAAAGATAAGGAACATAAGTCGTCAGATTTTTCGCAAGGTCCGAACTCACAATTGGCCCAGGAAAGAAGAAAGGCCTAACCTCATGTAGAGGTTTAAGGTGAAGTTTTCGACAAAAATTGTATATTCACAGTAAAAAGACGATCCGTTTTTATGCAAGGCATGACCACAATTATGCTTCACTTGGGAATGAGCAGGAGAAAGCATTGCATGTCTCCCCCTAGTATGCTTAAATATGCATCTCTGTTGTTCTTTTGCCTAACTTTACCTTGTGAAATACATCACCTATGAAGAAACATCTATTTCTCAGCATATTCAAACTGTTTCGCTGCGCAAAATAGTTTTCACTTTGAGGTACGAGTTGCATCGTGATATCAATTTGAGCCATCAAACGTAAATTAGAATGCTTGCCTTCAACAATCAAAATGTGGACATATCTGTTTGAAATCAAACCTGGATGAAAGTTGACGGGCCTCCCAGTAAGTCAAAGTACTTCTTAATGCGCTCAACAACCTAAGCGAAGAAAAGGCGATAAAGAAGAGTCAATAATTGCAAAGAAATGGATAATCAACTTTATGCAAGAGCTCTTAGGAATTGTAAATCCAATAAGCCAGGAAGGCAAGTAGGCGCACCCGCCACACGCGCGCACACACGCAGATACCTTGGGGTTCCTGAACATGCCACAAGGATCACTCGTCACGAACCAGCCGAGTCTCCACCCAGGTACAATCCATCTCTTGGATAGAGACCCAAGAGTAAGAACAGGAACGATCGTCCCGTATCGTCCCATCGGCACAAATGGGGTGTCCCCAAAAGCAAGGTGCCCATAAACTTCATCAGCAATCACAAGGACATTCAGCTTCTCTGCAGTTTCTGCGATCTAATTTCAATGCACAAACGGTCAATTCAGTTCAAATCTTATTAAAGCGATGCAATGGCACTTAAAGCTGTATTGTACGCAATGGACACTGACCTCCTTCAAATGTTGATCAGTGTACACATTCCCACAAGGATTTCCCGGGTTGATAATTACCATTGCCACCGTGTTGTGATCTGCTAAAGCTTGTACAGCATCAAGATCAACCTCCCAGCCTTTGTTGGGGAGGAGATCATAATGCCGAACTTCAATGTATCTAAAAGCAGCAGAAAGTTCATAAATCGGGAAGCCAGGCCTTGGAAGCAGTATGTTTGCTCCTGGTCTAGCAAGCATTGCCAATGCAACATCTATCGCTTGCGTGCAACCGGATGTAACAAACACGTCATCCGACGATAACTTGTATGGGAGATCACGAGACAAGTATTCGGCGATCGCTCTACCAAAATGAAGCATGCATTAGTGAGTTGATGTCTCAGCTTCTTATACGAATTTTTTAAAGCCATATGCCAATCGAGAAGTCAATTTTTTTGATGCCCAGAAGACGGAAGAAATTTCAGCCGATCGAATGAAGCCGGGGTCGTTCAAAACCCAATTGAGTTTTGGACAAATTCCGATTGAGACTTAAAGACTCGACTAAGCAACATCCAAGAGGACAAGTAAACCGTACATCGTGCATGGGCGCCCGTCGAAAACTTTTGAGAAACTGAGAACTAAAATTACGTGCGAAAACACAAGCTTCCCTCAAAATTAGATTGCAGTGGCCGAGCGAACAGAAACTCGGCCTTCTGCTAATTGCAACTTGCAATTCTGACCAATGAACTGAACTGATAATTGCGTGCAACTTGAAACTATTCTCCCCGACATGAAATTTATCTCTGCGATTGGAAATTTAGATATCGAAAACAAACCGCAGTTTCACTCACCTTCTTGTCTGGGGAAGACCAACGGTGGGCGAATAGCCATTGAACTTCTGCGACTGAAGAGCGTCCACCACAGCGTCCTCGGCCACACGGGTGGTGCGGAAGCACGTGGAAGCAGAGGGGTCGCCCATCCCCAGCGACACGACCCTCTTGCCGCTGTCCGCGTCGATGTTCTCCATCAGCAAGCTGAGGATGCCTTTGATGGTAATGCCCGAAGTCGTCTCCACTTCGTGGTTCGCGTTCCCACTCTCCATTTCTCTCGTCCCCTCTTTTACCCTGCTTCGATTTCACTCTCGTTTTCCTCTGTTTTCTCGAGGTTTTCAAGGTTGGGATTTTACGAAGAAGCAGATAGGGAGGGATGACCAAGTGTGGAGATTGGTTTTAGTGCATCGAAAGCCACATGTTGGGTGTTCTTAATTCCTGCATGAAAACAAAAAAAGGGATGGAGCTGTGTCCTGCTGAGAGCAGAAGAAATACAGAGCAACGAAGTAGATATTGGCAAGGAAATGGGAAAGAAACAGAGGGGTCATGAAGCAGCTTTCCGCACTTCAGCTGTCAAAGATTTGCCCATGTGCGAGGTGCAGAAACGATGGCCTTGCGTGCTCTCTCACCTGCCGAGATGAGATGCTCTGCTCGGCTTAGGACACCGAGCCATTTTAAGGAAACGAATCTGAGGCAGCGTTTGGTGACGATCATACATCACGGAGGATCAGTTCCAAGCCTGGAACCTGAGACCGATCATGTTATAATTAATTTTTAATTTTTTGAGCCTGAAATTTACTCTGTTTGCCCTGGACCCTGCTTTGAAATCTACCTTGTTTTTTCGGTCCGATTACAGGGTCTACCCGAGAACCCCTTTTTTTTTGTTTCTTTTATCAGTTTTATTTTTTCCAGGTAGCAAATAGGAAAAATTATAACTCAAATCAAAGGTTATAAGTTTGACTATGCAAATAATCTTAAGTATTCATACAAAAGCATATTATCTTAGTCTCAATAATTTAATGAACGTGATAAAATAGCATAGGTTCCAGTTGGATATGTAGTTTATTCGTTATAGAATAAAAATTTAAGAAAAAGGAAATTGCTCCCTATAATACTTACAAGCTATTGAATTAGACTATCCGCAAATAATAATCACCTCCCTCATCATTTATGATAAAATGTTTTGAATTCTAGCCATATAAATTGCAAGCGAACCTCCAAATAAAATCGATTATAAAACCGGTCCGGGTGGATTTTCGCTTGAAATTGGAAACCGGACCGGTTCTAACCGGTTCCCAAAAAATGAAACCGATTCCTGGACCTATTTTTCGAGCGAGCTGGTCCGATTTCTAGGTAAATCCAATCCGGTTGCTCACCCCTACCATACATAAGCCCAGGTTCAATGCTTCCCTGTCTTGTCGTTGTTTGCTAGATATGATCTGTGAGCCAGACGGGCCATTCCTCCTGCCTAAGTTAGCCTTACTCAGATTCCGTATATTCCTCAGGATTGCGCATTATTGTCTTCTATAATTAACCCTGATTCACTGTACTTGATACTGGATACTAATATTATGTTACTGTATATAGTTGTCACGTAATGCCTACATATAAGCTCATCCACTCTTTATTATTTACACATCGAAATATACAGAAAATTTCACTGTTGATGTATCTTTGTTACTTCGTAACTCTTTTGTAATGTTCAATTAATGACAAACATTGTATCTTTTACCACGATAATTAATTTAAGGGAACAATTATTTATGATGCGTTGCATTTCGTCATAATCTACATTGTAACATATATTGATTGTGTATAACATGCATTTTCAATATTGACGGAGACCGAGTGAATTAGAGCTAATACAAGTCTGTGCCCTGTGCAAGGCGTTCTTTGTGGGGATTTTGTTTTTTTTTCCAAAACGAGGCTAGGACTTGCTGTGCTCATGCCCATTATTAATTATAGGGGTGCGCATGATTTCATGATATGCAGGGTAGGTTCCAGGTAAATGGGTAATACATACTTCATAAAAAAGTTATAAGTTCGAGTCACATCGCGAGCGAACCTCTGACCAACTTGTGTCTTGAGCATTTGCTACTTCATGTGGAGAGATTTCCTGATTTCTGCCACACACAATGGGGCTGTAGTGACGGGCTCGCGCACTTATCGACGAACTGAGTAATTACGCCTTAAAACCCAACATTCTGTAACGGACGCGGTATTCTTACGATAAACGCCCGTAGGAGAGAGGGAGCTACATTGGACGCCCCTTCTCATCATTTTACGTATAAAAATAGGACACGGGCTTGTGGCGGGAGGGACAATCGTCAACGGGATCGATCATGGTGCGCGAAAGCTACAAGCTCGTGGCTTCTATATGACCACGAGCGCTCATTTTGTCCTTAAAACCTGATAAGGACCCGCCGTACGACCCAATTCCAAGACGCATTCTCGTTTCGATTGCGTGGATCACTTCTCTCATTCGTGATCGGGAACGCGGGGCTTCCCATGTCCACAGGTGGACCATCAAGTTGGTACCCAGGGGCCAAGGGCAGTCCTAGACAAAATCGAAGTGGGTTGACCCGACTTCGGCCCATCGTGCATCCGCTTCTGATATAGTACCCTACCCTAGTTGCACGGGTTGAACTCATGTTGTAACGGTTAATTTCATTAGTGCCTCCTTATCGTAACACTTCTCTTTTTCCTCTAGCCAGTCACCCTTCCACTGGCCCGTCACCGGACCTCGGTGACCGGCTAGAGGCAAGGACCGGCGAGGCTTGACCTCGCCAATACCGGTCACGCCACGTAGAAATGCTAGAAATGCTAGCGTCCATGTCAGCGATTTCCGATTAAGATTGACTGGATAAACTAAACTGGCACGAATGTAAAAGGATTATGACTCAAATAATAAGAAAAAAAGTTTAGGATTGTATTGGCATAATTACAATAAGTTTTGGACTTTTTTGGTAACTTTTCCCTAAATTTTGAGAGTGAAGATGAAGTTCCCTGGAATTATACAAAACTTTCGTCCAAAAAGTATGCTGACACTTGACCGCTGAGGAAGGGGATGGCGGTGAGGCTCAATAAGTTGTAGCGGGACCTATCTATCTTTCTATGTAGCAATATCATCATGAAATATTTTGGTCACACCCGATTTATCGAACATGAAGATTCAAATAGTAGCTGAATATGGCGATTTCTCTCGAGAGCCGCTAGGTAATCGCTTGGCCGGCTCCTCGGAGAAGCTACCAAATAGAAAGAAAGGCATGTTTCTGTGCATATAACAAGGAATGAGTACAGGGTTTACATAGGCCGTACATAAACCCATTTATAATCAGGATGCGTTTAGTGTACGTAAAACAATCGTATCCGCATACGTAACCAGTGGTCCGGGAGATTGCACATTCCGGAAAGATAGCGCGTGATCTATAACGGGACAGACATGTATGCACGAATGTCCAAATACCAACAAAGCCAACGAAATGATAACCCAACTTCATCGCTCGTGTTGAGATGTTGGAATATCGGTGCTGTGAGATTTTGTGGGACCGCTACCAACTGTTCTAAAACCTTAAGCTGTTAGATGAATACGTGGTTTAATATTTAATTATTTTAACACTCCCCTTCATATTTAATCTGGTCTTTTTTGCTTTGTACTAAGCATGGAAATATTTAATTGGGGAGGCAATTGGGGCCTGGAAAGATTTTAAACTCGGGTCTGATAACATGTAAGATTTTATGAGACCACTACCAATTGTTCTAAAAGCTTAAGCTGTTAGATGAATGTGTGGTTTAATATTTAATTATTCTAACAGGTGCAAAAGCGAAAGATCGTTAGAGAACAGACCTGGACGAGGATGTTACGAACGAAGGCCGCTTTGGCTAGTAGTAAGATCTTGCCAAGAAGCGAACCACCTCAGCTTCCGAGAAAGCAGCAGCAACTACCGGGAGATAGATCTATTTCGTCAATTCGGACATTGCCTCTCCGACTGTTTTTGGGTGGTGCCAAGCGAAGTGTGGGTTGGTTTATCTTTCCTTACATGAAAGGCGATGCTGTCATGGGCCAAACTCTCGTTCGCTATCTTTCAAGATAAGTTTTGCTGATTCGCGTTTTGTCCACATGTTCTTGGGGGTGACCGACGCTGTGAAACACGTTGAACATGGTGTCCCGAGCGTTCCGCTTTTCGACGTCTCTCTCTCTCTCTGACATGGAGCGGTTATCTTGCAAGTTGCAACCCTACCTATTCCCGGGCTTCCCTGTTCTTTTCGCCCCTTTCTTGGGACGAGGAAGCCCTCCACCATGTGGATCGCATCGTCGCGCAGCACGATAATCACGATGGTCGATCAGTTTTTAAATTTCATCGATCAATTATTGAGACGTCGCTTTGCCGTCCCGGGGCCGGCGATGGAAATGCATTCCGGCCTTCTCTTGTGCACAAGGTCGGATCCCGTTCTTCTGCAATTGATGTGTCGGGTATTTTTCTTTAGTATAGGGTTACACATCGATTCCGGTTTAACTAGAGAATCGGACCGGACCGGTCGATTCAACTCCCGGTCTGGTTCCTAAAACTAGAAATTGGACCGAACCGATGGAGCCGGCCTAGAGTATATTATTATTAATTTTTTGTTTATTCAGCAAAGGCAAAATGCACAAATTATATGTAGGGGTAATCTCATAAGTAATTTCATCAAACTATGACGTAACTTTTAATATATTTTAAAATTTATCTAAAGAAAATTAACACCACCGGTTCCCAAGACAATTGAGGAAATGAATTGGACCGGACTGCTGATCCCAGTCCAGTTCCAAGGTAAACATAATCGGTTCTCAGTCCAGAGATTGGGAATTGACCCCGTCCAATCTGATGCTCGATTTTAGGGTGGGAACTGACCCACCTTGAAACCAATCACCCCCATTTTAGTAGCCCGATGACGAAGGATTCATAAGAAAACACGGGTTGCTCTTAGCATAAGAAATCCGGTGGTCTTGAAATTTTCACGCGTGGTTGATTCGTAACAAAATTCATTGATATTTTACGTGGCACGAACGTGTAAACTATTTTCATTTTCTGTTTTTCATCCTTTCGTTGTGCAAAAATGAACCGGTTCGACCAAGAGAGAACGATTGTTTTGTTGCAGGAAGATAACGCGACAATCAATAATATAGGCTTTTAGATTCAATGATCAAAATTCCATCATTGAAGGTCGATATCTTCGATCTTTAACCGTGACAAGTCCACTTCAACCTCGAGAATTATAAAATGGAAGTGACGTGCACAAATAGACTTACATGAAATCAGCTCGTCCCATGGGGTTCTTAATCTTTGATGGTTGTGCAGTCAAATCATGGTACAGTTTAATAAGCCATTTCCCCGTAGCGTGACAAGTAACAACATCCGACGCCAACTACAATCACGCGAATCACTCGGTCCAAAAGGACCGTTCTACGTTGAAGAGTAGCGGCGAGGAGATTGAAGATGAATGTCGAGTTACAAGTGATTGACATGGACAATTGATGAATGTTGTCCCCGGGGGCGGTGATGGAGATGTATTCCGGCCTTCTCTCTGTTCATTAGGTCAAATCCTGTTATTCCACAATTGATGCGTTGAATGTTCTTTAATATAGGGTGTGCATAGGTCCACGTCTAATTCAGAAACTGGACCGGATGATTATGGTTGGTTCCCGTAGGAATCGGTCCGATTCCCGATCCAGTCTCTAGTTCCAGGAACCAAATCGAACGATGGAACCGATTCAGATATTATTATTATTATTATTATTCAGCAAGGGCAAAAAGTACAAAATATTTATGGGAGTAATCTCCTCTTTTACTAATACGTTCCATTTGATTAGTAATTTCATCATACACTAAAATAACTTTTAAAATATTTAACAAATTTTGAGAAAGAAAATAAAACAGCTTTCAAAAAAATAATAATAATACTGCTGATTCTCGGGATAATCCAAGAACCGAATTGGACCGGACTACCAGTCTCGGTCCGGTTTAAGGGTGAACATATTTGGTTCCTGGTCCGTAGACTAGGAACCGACCATGTCCGGTCCGATTTCTAGTTCTAGGATAGGAATCGATGAATAGGAACTCACCCATCATAAAATTGATCACTCCTATTTTAGTAGACTGGATAATAAGAAATGCAAGATAACAAAGGATTCATAAGAAAACACTTATTGCTCTTAGCATAAGAAATTTGGTGGTCTTGAAATTTTCACGTCCTAATCGGTTCATAATGAAATTCGACGCTATTTAACGAGGCACGAATGTTGCGTAAGCCAATTTCGTTTTTATTTTTTTTTTTACCGTTCTTTCGTAGCGTGGAGATGAGATGGATTGACGGACAACCATATTTATCATTTTCGACGATAAAAGTTCCATCGTTCGATTGAGTGCTCGATCTTCGATTGTGGTGCGGTCAAACCATGGTGCGATTCAATAAGCGATTTCCATGCGGCGCGACAACATCCGACGGCCGACTACAATCCGCGCGAATCGCCTTGGTCCGGAAGGACCGGTCGACGTCGAAGGGCAGAGGCGAGGGCGAGGAGGAGGTTGAAGATGAATGTCGAGTTACATGTGCAAGCGGCCATGGACAAGGGCTGCTTGTTCCGCGAACGAAGGCCCGCGGAGCGTCCATCGGGAAGCCCACCGACGAGGGAGACCCGCTAGGCAAACGGGCCCGAATGGATTCGTCGGGTGGCTCCCTTCTTTTGCACGGGCGCGGCGCGGGGTCGACCTCCTCGGGTCGGCGCCCGTGTCCGCCAGCGCAACCTTTTGAAATAATTTCATCGCCATTATTGGACTGACCCGACACCTGCAAATTGTTGGCGCAGAGCTCTCTGCAGAGATGGTACGGAGATGGGTGCGCAGTACGCACAGCCAGGGAAAAGAGGAGAAACCCACAAGAAAAAAAAACCAAACCAAGATTTACAGCGTAGACAAGGCATGCCTAACCCTGAAAATTTTAACTAGTGTTTATACGGTCATTCTACGTCCTAATTCCCTATAATCACCCGACTTTTAAGTCTAGTTCTAACTTTGCTCCAAACTTTTCTTTACATCCAGTTCCAAAAAAAACTGTATCCAGTTCTAAATTTACCCCGAGCTTTTCTTTAGCCTAAGAAAAGGATCACAAATTTTTACTATTATCCCAGATCTGCTCCCATTAGCCACCTGTCAAAAAATCGCCGTTAGTCGTTCCTAAATTTCATATTCTGGGACGGTTTCATTTTGAAGATAAATTTTCACTGTCACCTTACCAACATGGATTCGTTATCGATCATGCCAAGTTGGGAGTGGACCACGAGGTAGATTTGAGAACAAAATGAAAATATGGTGATTTTTTTTAAACAAAACAAATTCGAGGCAGTTTTGGGACTGGACCTAAAGTTTGGAGTTCTTTTTTAGATTAAAAAAAAAGTTTGAGATAGATTTAGGACTGAACGTAAAGTTTTGTGTTTTTTCCGAGATAAAAAAAATTCGAATAGAGTTGAGACTAGATCTAAAATTTGGGATTTTTCAGGGAATTAGGTTGTGATTTTACTTTTTTTTAGCTCCTGAATTCGATACAAGTCGACTAATCACATAAACGTATCATCGCGTCTCATGTGTCAGCAACTCTAAAGGCGATGCATCGACTGCCTTTCTAACAAATCATTTGATCGCGGCATTTCGAGAATATCTCATAGACTCGAAGCATACCCGCTTGAGGCGGATTCTCGCGATAGTAAAACCCCTTCGATGTCAACGGCTCTTGAAGGACGCATCGACGTGTTTCCACACTTTCATCCGCTACGATTGCCGGTTAACAACTTCACCACCGGGCGACGAAGAGTATGATAATTTACCGAGCGCAAAAAAAGAAAAGAACGGGCCGATGCCGCCTCGAGAGGCGACTTCGTTCCCCCGAATCTCTCAATCGGGAACCGGACCACTAGGATGGACCCGTGACGGCATGCCCTGCTCGGTACTTGGCATTGGCGCAACAAATGTATGGCCGCGCACGGCCATGCAATTTAAGAGGGGCTTCCCATCGGCTCAGAAGAGCCATTGAATGCCCGGAGAGACACAATTAAATGGCGGTTGCCGACCGGGGAGGAGGAGGAGGAGGAGGAGGGGGGCCCCGACGACGACGAAGGGAAGTGGGGGCCCGAGCGGCGGAGGTGGGGCCCGACCTGAAAAGGGCGGGAGCGGCCGCATGTCGGGGGTGGGGTCGGGGCGGCGGAGGAGGGAGGGGTGGGGGGGGGGGGTGTGACTTGAGGTTGTCGTCACGCGCGATCCACGGCGCGATCTCTCGAGACATGAGCCCTTTTTTGTTTCTTTCCTTTCTTTCGTTGCTCTTTCCCTCACCCTGCTTTTCACTTTTTGTTTCACTGCCAAATCCCATTATATATATATATATATAATTTTCTGCCCCGGAAAAGAGAAAAGGAAAAAGAGGGGGCTGTTTGGTTATTCTCTCTCTATCTCTCCGTGTCATTATTTGCAAAAGTCAACTGGAAAGTCCTTCCGACTCACCCTGGTGTCTGAAAAGATTTTTGGGGGGTTTTTCTGCTGAAGGATGAAAGCAGTTACCCGATAAATAGATAAACCCAAAGAGAAAAAATCGCAATTTTCAGCGAATTGAATTGTTTTTTTTTATACGAGCGGTTAATGCTTTAAGAGTCGAATATTTTCTTAGATTAATATCATAAAAAATAACAAAATCGGTACACTTGTAACAATCATACTCAAAACTAATTTTTTGACCTTAAAAAAATCTCAAATTTGGACACATATAACAAATTTGCCCTCCGTTAGTTTCCGATGAATTGAATCAATAACACGAAAAACCATAAGTTGGTACATCCACGATAAACGGAGGGTAAAACCTCAAACCGGTACACCTGTCAATTGTCACGTGTCATCCAACTCGACAATTTAACTGTAAAATTTAAGGGAAACTAACGGAGGGTAATTTTATCACAGATGTACCAATTTGAGATTTTTGGTGGTCAAAAAATTAACTTTGAGTAAATTTGTTACATGTGTACTAGTTTATGATTTTATGTGGTATTAACCCTATTTTTTTTTCTTTAAAGGGTAGTTAATATCTCGAATAACTCGTCTACATGACATAAATAAAGATGAAATCACGTGTATCGTGATTTTGTTCGTCTTTTACGAATGCTCCCTTCCTAGAACCTCACTAAAAAGCAAGCAAGGGAATGTTGCATTTCACAATATATTGGAAGTCCTCATGATGTGTGCAATATTTTTATTTCAAAAGTGAAATATCTTTTTTGTGAAATATATTTAAGGGTAAATGACACAAATAATCATTGAACTTTGGTCCAGTGTGTAACATAAATGTGGTCTTTAAACTTTAGCTCAATATGTAATGTCATTTCTGAACTTTTAATTTGTTTAATGTTATTCCTAGATTATTTGAAAATATTTTTAAACTATTCAGAGACTAAATTTAAAATGACAAGGATGATATTAAACAAATTAAAAGTTTAGAAATGACATTTCACATTGAGCTAAATTTCATGAATCATAATAAACAAAACATTGAACATTTTAAAACTATTTAGAGACTAAATTTAAAATGACAAGGGTAACATAATAAATTAAGAATTTAAGGATAACTTTGTACTTTGAGCTAAATTTCATAGATCATAATGGATAAATTTTAAAT